AGATGCTCGCTTGACTTGCCTCGAAGGGTCCGCTGTTCTTATCGGATGGTCCTGTGGCCTCCTTAGCACATGCCCATACCATCGCAGTCGCTGTTCCCGCACCTTCAGCTGGACAGGGGCAGTCTGCATGACCGCTCTGACATCCTCGTTTCTGACCCTGTCCAGTCGCGTCCAGCCGCAGGCCCATCTCAGCATCCTCATTTCAGCGAGTGAAGCTGCCTTTCGTGATTCTTGTTCAGGGGCCAGCACTCGCTGCCGTAGAGCATCGCAGGCCTTACCACTGTCCGGTACACCTTCCCTTTGAGCGTCTGGAGCACCTTCGATCGCAGAGGATTCCAGTGGACTCCCTCCATTTCATCCATGCAGCGTTGACCCGAGCCTTCACTGCCTGATCCACACTACCGTCGGCTGCCAGATCGCTCCCAAGGTATCGGAAGTCCTCCACTCTTTCGATGGTCTCACCATGGCCGTCCACGATCGGCTCTGCACCCTCTTCGGAGCTCAGGAACTTGGTCTTCTTGACATTCAGCCGGAGCCCATCTAACGAAAAAACGAAGACCGCCCACGTCCTTCCCCAGGATCTCTCCTCCTCCCCAAAGCACAGTCCCAAGTCGTGCACATGGCTCACTCCCTTGAATACCCCGAACCTCCTCCAACAACATGAGAGCCAAGTGTGCGCCATTACTCGCGTCGCACGTTCAATCTGCCCATTCGTAGAAGAACAGCAACCGACGACACCCAAGCAAAAGTATTTTCTCTTTCCACCTCCATGGGCGCACCGATGTTCACGTTTGAGATCAATGAGCAGCCGATAGCTCCCTCTTCTCACTAGTAATCATCCCGCACCGTCGTCGAGTCCGCTGTACTTTTTGGTTGTCGTTTCTCCTCGTATCTAGGCATTTCCAGCCGTGGCATTTGTTCTTCTTGATGAAATCCTACCGGCTCTTCTTCGTGGGTTCCTCGTGGTTGCTTGATTTGCGCAACGAATCCAGTGCAATTAGTGATCATGCGCCCTTCTCAGCATGTGACCATCAGGATGTCCACGATCGACTCTGTACCCTCTTAGAAGCTCAGGAATTTGGTTTTCCAGTTGGAGCTCACTCTCTCAGAGACTAAGTCAGGTGTTCCGTTTTCTCAGTATCCCTCTCCCCCCCCCCCCCAGTGCAGATTGCGTAGTCGAATGCCTTCTCCAGATGAGATAATATTACAAGAAGTGCGAAGAGGAACGTTAGTGAGGAAAAGGCAAAAGGCGCCGTAGAAAACACTCAAAAGTTTTTGCGAGGTCGAGTGTGCTAAGATGAAGAAACCAGCGCTGCGAGGCGGGAAAAAGGGCGAGACGCCACGCATGCTACCATTGGTGACAATGGCAGCGGTCGCAGCGACCACGCGAAGGAATAGCTCCCAAGTAGCGCTTTTTCAAGTCGCCACAGCACCACCATCCCTAT